TGATTTAAAAAATGTAAAGCAAAACCAAAAACCAAATCTAAAAATTAAAGTCCAAAACCAAAAGCTGAAAACACATGTTATATTGTTTTGCTTTGTTTATTTACAAAATAAACTATTTCAATTTTTTTATTAAAAATTTGTTGTCATCTTTTTCAGTTTTAAATTACATTTTCGATTAAATGAGATTTGTTTGTTGGTAATATCAGTTCAAATTAACTCAGCGGGTCTAAAAATTAAAAACCCAAACCAAAAACTGAAAATGAAAAGCAGAAACTTAAAAACTAAAAACTAAAAACTAAAAACCAAAAACCAAAAACCAAAATCTAAAAATAAAAACTGAAACTAAAAACTAATGAAAAACAATCATCACCACAAATTTTGGTGAACTAATTTTATATCAAAATATTCTTTAAATTAAGACAAAACCCAATTTAAATTTTAATCATAAAAAATTTCCGCGCTTTTCAAGCGCGGGTCAAAATCTAGTTATTGTGTATTTTAAAAAAGAAGAAGAAAAAGGGCACGCAGCTTACTCGTTTGTGAAATTATCTGTAGCGCCCCTATATCATATTTTTAATTATGCTTTCTCCTCGTTATAACTCTATTTTCGTTTGTAATTATTTTTTAAATCAAAAAATGAGTGAAGTACCAAAAGACCAGAAAAAGTGACAAAATTTACAAGAAAAACCAGGGTCAAACGCACCCATTTCATTACCCCTCAGATCTGAATTGGTAAACCGAGATAAACCAAAGAAACCCTAAAATCAAACACAATTTTTAAAATCGCGTGACACTTACACGATTAAACTGAGAAACCTCTCAGTGTCCCTTATTTTACTATCTCTCACTCTCGAGGTTTCCACTGTCTCATCTCTCTGTCGATCATTGATATTCTCAAATTAACCTTCAAGCTACTCTCTCAAATAAGAGGTTCGATGTAGTACTTGAGGATCGAATCCACAGAGACCAAAGATTACACTTTATTTTTATAGGATCAATATTAAGCTAAATCAATATGGAGTTTTAAAATTAAGAAAACGTAAAAAGCAAGTAACAGATTGGTTTAAGGTTTTCAGATGATTGAAGATGCTAGCCTAGGGTGAAGGATTGGGTGTCAAACGATCATGAGCCAAACATCTATTCAAGGTTTTACTAAGCACAAGTCTAGTACACAAAAGACAAATAAAGATTGACCCACTGTCGTGGTATCTCCCCTTTTAACAATCAGCCTTAATACCTAAACTCTCGTTTGGACTAAAACATGAAAGCAAACATTAAGATCAGATTCGATAAGTTCACAAATTGCCCTAACATCTACTCTCACTGGCTAGTGACAAACTGCCCATTCATGTTGTTTCTAGCAACCTAAGCACTGTTGATGATTAGATTGAACCTAGTTTCAAGCATCAGTTAGCTAGTTTAATGTAGGCAGTAAGCATAAAAATGAATGGAGACAATCCAACAATGAACCTTATTTGTGTTTAGCTCGTTAATCTAACACCCTAAACTAAGCAATTTAACTACTCAGCCATGAACAGAGAAAACACAGAGATTAGAGATAAAGAAAACATGTTTGAATCAATAAATAATAAGTAAGAGGGTTTAGAAATATTCTCCAAAGGTTGTAGAGATCCTTCTCCCTCAAAGTTACAAAATATAAAATCACAAACCTCCCATAAGCTCAAATCTGGTTTCTGATGTAAAAATTAGCGTAGAAAATAATAGAAAAGAGGAAAAGAATATATATGGAGGCTGCTGGCGGCTGGGAGGGAAAAATAAGAGAATTAGGGCAAATCCCGAAATATGTTGTAATTTCCTTCAAAATCTCTCCCGCGGGAGCAGACACTCAGGCTGTTCCGCACAGAAATCTCCAATTTGTACTCTTTTCTGCCTCTTTTAGTCCAACTGGTCCATCTCCTATCCAATGCAACTCCAGACCTGTAATGACTTAAAAAAGACTAAAAAGACTCGATAAAGACTCAAAAACACTTTCGAAAACATTGTTAGAATATGCTAAAAACACCATCTATCAATCATCTCTCTGACGAAACTAGGACAAATGATAACCACAACGATAGAGAGGTAAGGTTCTTCTCTTGACAATTTCAGTTTAGGTTTTCGATTAGGAGATCTATTTCAATTAGTTGGTGACTCTTAAAATTATCGATATTTGTCGATTTAGGGTTCTTATTGTTCCGTCGTGTCTATCACTGCCGATTTGGTCTCATTCAGTCATTATCATTGCAGGAAGTGAAAATGGTGAAGACACGATGGACACGGAGGAAGAAGAAGCCAAAAATGAAACCACTGAATGATATAACTTCTCCTCCTTTAAAAGAAGTTCCACAAGGAGATCTCGTTCCACAGGTTGTGGATGAGATTCTGAAGAATGGAGAGAAAGAGAAAGAGAATGAAGATAACCTAGCTGTAGATGGAGAGAAAGAGAAGGAGAATGAAGATAGCCCTGTTGAAGGTGTAGAAGAAGAGAAAGAGAACTCGGAGAACGGGGATAGCCCTGTTGAAGGTGTAGATGGAGAGAAGGGGAAGGAAAAGGAGGACAATCATGTTGTAGATGGAGAGAAAGACAACGAGGACAAACATGTTGTAGAGGGAGAGAAAGAGAACGAGGACAATCATGTTGTAGATGGAGAGAAAAAGAACGAGGACAGCCTTGTAGAAGAGAATGAGAACTCATGAGAAGATGAGGAAGAAAGGTCAGATGAAGAAGGGAGAATCTGCATGAAAGTGAAGTACATTCAGAGTAAGAAGAGCCGAATCCGCATGAAAGTGAAGTAGATTCAGAGGAAGAGGAGGCGAATCCGCATGAAAGTGAAGTACATTTAGAGGAAGAAGAGGCGAACTGTGAGAATAATCAAGTTGGTGAAAATGTGTAGATCAATGAAGGAGGTAGAGAAGAATACCAGTCTAACCTTAGAGGTATACTAGCTTTGTCTCATAGTTTAATTTGGTAGAACTGAGGATAACTAGTTTCTTTGGATGAAATGATAATATTTGATCTTATTTAGTAATTGGACGGGTGTTACTGATTTGTTTGATGGTTTTGTGTAGATTAGGTTAAACACAAGAGGAGGTCATCTTGTAAAACTAAGTATAACTATATATAAATTAATGAAAATGTTTGTTCTTTGTTTGCAGGATTATGTTGAAGATGTGCCGGAGGCGATAAAACCATTGGGCATGTACTTCCCACCGTCTGAGTATAGAAAGAAGATCAAGATATCGACGAGGTTTTTTATTGCTGATGTAATAAAAACCCTAAAGGAAATACGGCCTCCGATGAGTCAGGAAGAGAAGAGTTGGTTTGAGAATCATCCGCAGTTCAAACACATATTTCATATGCCACAGGCTGGAAACCACAAGCTAATGGGGATGTGGATGCTCCTTCTCCGAACCGTATGCATAGTAAGGGAAAAAGAGGCATGGTTTGCGGTGAATGGTTGTCCCATACAATACGGTATTAGAGAACATGCTTTGATATCTGAGCTGGACTGTGAAAACTATCCACTGAACTACAAGCAATTAGGAGGCACGAACTTTGTGAGGAAATATTTTGGCAATCTAACAGTAAGGTATCAAGACGTGAAAGCAATGGTTCAGGAGGGAATGGAACCTTATCGTGATAGGTTTAGGCTGCTGGTCTTGAATTTTCTATCGAGTATTATACTTAGGCATAGAAGGGACGGCGACGATGCCCCTCCCATGGAGCCATTCTTTCTGAGAGTAGTTGATAATCTCACTTTATGTAAAACATTTTCTTGGGGTAGATTGTCCTTTGACTACATGTTGAAACAATTTTCTAACACAATGAGCCATTATGATGGAGAGGTGAAAGAAGGTGTGATATGGCTAGTTTCCGGATTTTGTCTTCCAATGGAGGTAAGTCTATATAACTCATTGTTTTTAATGGTTATGGAAAGTATGATATTGACACTGGAGAGGTATTTTTACATGTGTAGTTCCTAGCGTTTGAGGCCGTAGAGAAATTGGGGAAGAAATTCCGAGAGTCAGTTGAAGGCGTAGACTCTACTTGTCCAAGGATGTGTCGATCATAGTTCAAGAGAAGTGAAATGATGGGATTTCCCTTATCAAAAATAAATAAAGCACTCGCTAATACTACGGTTAGTTGTCCCATGTATCCAAAGTATTTAGACAATATGTTATGTTATGGAAATTTTAAAAGACTTTAACACTGCAGGACATTGAGAACATACTTGTCTGCTACCGAGGAGGAAGAGACCATACTAGGTCGGATAACAGAACCAGTGGACATCAGATATAAGGATGACGTGATTGTGGAGGACTAGATGAAGAGGTTGGATAGTGGTTATGTTGTAAGGTTTGAAGATATGTTAAAGGAAGATGTGTCTGCCAGAGCAACTCCTCCTCAGAATGGTGGAAACGAGAAAAAATCCACCAATGAAGCAGCAGGGAACACCCTGACACTAAATGAATTGGTAGAAGTCATTAAATGCTTCAAGGAAGATATTGGAGGGCGGGTGATGAGGATTGAGGAGAAGGTTCAGGAGATGTTAGATGCTAGGAATGCGGATGAGGGAGAGGCCATCTCGAAGACGCCAACCAAGAAATCAAAGAAAACTTCAGAGGGTATTGAGAAGAGGCCAAAGAAGAAATCAAAGAAAAACTGATCAGTTGCTTGAGATTGCTTTTGTTATAAACTTATGTTTCTCTATGTGTGTTATGTTTAACTTATCTAGTTTGATGCTTTTGGTTTGTAGTAAAACTTCTGATGCTTTTGGTTTGTAGTAAAAGTCAAACTTATGTGATATGTTGCTTTTGGAGAATGTGTATCTGTACAAATAAAGTAAAAGAACTCGAAAACAAACAAAACAAAACATCTCTATCTACTCTCTCATATCGAAAACAAACAAAACAAAACTCTCTCTCGAGCCTCTCTCTCCTCTCATCCTCACATCACTCCTCTCTCTCTCTCTCTTCTTCTTCTCGAGATCTCGTTGACGATGGAAGTGGGCTCGGGTTCTTCATCTAAGAGGCAAAATTCTGGTCAGAGACGGTGTCACTGTGACTTACCGGCGATGATAACGCAAGCTGGGACCGATAAAAACCCAGGGAGGAGATTTTATGGCTGTCCGCGTTATAAGGTATGAGAATTAAAGTGATTAAGTACTGATTCATATGTGAATGAGAAATTAAAAATGAAATTGGACCTTGTGACAGCTTGGTAATGAATGCAAGTACTTCTGTTGGTTTGATGAAGAGGAAGGTACAAAATGGCAAAAAAGAGCTTTAATTGAAGCTCGTGATGAAATTCGGGAGAAGAATAGAGTGATTGAGCAGTTGAAGAAGACTATTTCACAATTGAGACAAAGGGTGACAGTGAATGAGAAGACGAAATTGTTTGGCAGTTTGAAGAATTCTATGTTTAAACTATGGTATTCTATGTGTGATCTTGTTTTTCTTTTGTCACTTATGTATGAATATGGTTAAACTATGGTATTACTATTGGAAACTATAGTCGTACTACCGAAAACTAGTATAACAACGGGTAATTAGCACATAATTCTTAGATTAAACCGAACATAAGTCTTACACATCATCACAAAGTGACATAATTCAGAAACACATACAAAGGAAACATCATCACATAAGTCTTCAAATGCAGAAACACACACAAAGGAAACATCATCACAAGGTTACTAGCAAACAAACACTTATTAGAGATCTCAAAGTAGAGAGAAAACCAAACAAACACTTATTGGGGAATGAGCTTTGAGCTCAGCTATCTCTGCAGGCATTTCGTCCACCTTTTTACTTAAACGGCTTATCTCTTCCTGAACTCTGATAACCCATGGTTGACGGAAGTGGAGTCCATCGTCCTGCCAGTTTCACATAGTTGCACAAAGTTAAACAATAAAAAGTACATAGTTTCACATAGTTGCAGTAATTTAAATTACCTTGAACTCATTGGAAGTGAAGTACCCCCGGCCTGGTAACCAATCCTTATCTTTTGGATAAGTAGAAACCTCGTTGACGATTCGTCCTCTACATGGGCAGGAAGATGGAATCCTGTACTGAGCATCACAAACAAAGTAAAGCATGTCGTAGTGTTCTTTCAGCTTCTTCATCTCCTTCCTTGAGGGTTTCTCATCCCATAGAGACATGCTTGAGAGACTTGAGAGAATCTGAGGAATTTTCAAGAGAATGAGGAAAGAGAAAGGCGATAGAGAGCGAGATGAGAGAAAAGTGGTAGAGAGAGATGTGTGGTGAATGAAAGGCGAGAGAGGGATAGTCGACAGTGGGAATCTGCTTTTTCCCATAGAAAATCCCAATTTGACTGATGAAATTTTATAAAATCCGCCTATATTTTGAACTTTTTAGAAAAACCCGCCTAAAAAATACAAGTATTTCTCCCCAAGATAGTGGTTCTACAGAAATTACAAATAGTTGTACTTCCGGTGATTTAGCGTAATTTTAGTATTACATGAAATTATATTTTGTTTTCTTAGTATTACAATGATATATAACATTTAAGAATTGGATTATTGGTGTTTAGCGTGATCAAAGTGTATATAAAAGTTGTACAACGAAATGTAATCTTCAATAGTCACATATTTTACAAAGTGACTACAAAGGTTTATGTAGTATGTAGTTTGTTTTTAGATTTTTCTTTTGATTGTAGGGTATAACATTTTTCTTATTATATTGGATTCTTCTTTTGATTGTAGGGTATACCATTTATTCGGGTTTTCGGTTCGGATCTTTACGAATAATTGAATAACATAAGTCAAAATAGCTAAAGTTAACATACTAGCTATGTTCTGGAATGTAAGACATTTTGGGTTTTTTCCTTGTTCCACAAAGAAAGATTTTATGTATTGTCATTAATGATTTTTCCTACTACGATGAAGAATAAACTCAGTCAATTACTATCATTTGATATTTACAAGGACATGCATAAATGCTTTCTGGGTAAAGACTACGTATTTGGTAATGTTGAATTTAATAACAACTTCATTCTATTTTAAGCTTTCTTTCTCCGAAAGTACAGCGAAAAACAGAAGAAAATACAAAAAAAAAAAATGAAAACAGAGGAAGAGGTGAAATCAAAAACGAAACTGGAAGAATTTTTCAAAGGGGAGTCAAGAGATGTTTATAAGATCAAATCCTACACCACTCAAGAATTGGATTTGAACAAGGAGTACTACGATGAAGAGGAGCTTCTAACTAACAAGAAGATGTAGTATAAATTAGTTTGATTTGAATATTTGGATTGTGAATAAATATTTTTTAAAGCATTTTTGATGTTTTAAGTGTACTTTAGCAATTATTTACATATAAAACACACAGTTAAACACGGTTCGGGTTCGGTTTCGGTTCTTTAAATACACAAACTAAAACACAGTTCTACTTAGCTTTACAAAATTATACTAGTATTACACACAGTTAAACTCAAACATTTCGATTACAAAATAGCAACCATTGTAGGCTTTGTCTTAGACGCCTTTTATTTTGTGTCCTTGGCCGACGCTCCCCTACTGATGGAAACCTTTCCACTCTTTTTCTTTCCCTCTGCTCAATGCGCTAAGGAGCAAAGATCTTTTTTTTTAATGTAATCAGGGATATCCCATTGACTCCTATCTGGCATGACATATATAGTCTTGTAATATGTCAATGCCCACAGCTCTGTCCAATAGTATTTAGATACCAAATCTTCTAAGTCGAAAACGTGACTGCTATGACCTTTCTTAGAGTACAAAATGTAAGCTGATAATCCGTGGATACAAGGGTACTTTTCAATGTCAAAGAATCTTCAACTGCAACTTTTGGTAAGTAAATTCACCAAATACGGTTTCCCATCACTGCCCATAACACTGTATTCAATCTGGAAAGTGTTTAGCTCCGACACAATTAGTTTTTCTGCTTCCACCCATGTGCCATGCACATAGTTCTCCACTGAAGGCACTAGTTTGCGCTCATTGGATCCTCTAACAGTCTGTTTCCTATGTTCATTAAACCAATCAGCAGTCTTCTTAACAATCGTATCAAGCAAGGGTATTAAAGAGTACTTCCTCGCGTCTTTGAACACGCTGTTCATCGACTCCACAATGTTGCTTGTGTCGATGTTATATCTATCTCTTGGAAACCAACGCCTCGCCCACTTCTCTTTCTCACTACTTCCCTCTAAATACTTCGCAGTGGATGGATACCGAGTCTTGAAACCAGAATAAGCAGCATCGAATTCAGGAACTGTGTAAATCTGCGCAATGTCCATAAATGGACATTTAACAACATCCTTGTTGACGTTACTTACATGAACTTTCACATTTTGCGCCAAACGCCATATACAATGCGCATGATGAGCCTTGGGAAACACATTAGCAATGGCATTGATGAGGCTTATATTTCTGTCACTCATAAACACCAACTCTGATGAATCCGGCATAACGCTTTTTAACATCTCAAAAAACCAACTCCAACTGTCCTTATTCTCACCATCTAATACACCAAAGGCTAAAGGATAGTGGTGCCGATTAGAATCCTAGGCCGTGGCAAAAACTAGTACACCCCCATATACATTTTTCAGAAATGTGGCATCTACGGTTATCACTTTCCTCATCACTTGAAAACCTTCTATGCTAGCTCCCAGAGCGATGAACAAATACTTGAATTTGTCTGACTCATCCAATTCTACGCTTGTTATTGTCTCACGTAACAGTCCATCCGTAACTTTCTTTGGGAGTCTCACGCAAAACGTTTACACCTTCGTTTTTACCTCGCAAAGAAGTGGAGTACAATACCTTCACACCTAGTTTATTCCACATAATTTAAATGATGCTTTTAGGAGGAGGAGTTTCCATTTGTCCTGGATAATCATCATTCAATATCGATGCAACTAGCTATGGTGTGCCTTTCCTCCTAGAGTTGCATTTACTCTAACTTCCACGAGAGCATGTATGCATGTTGGTGTACGTTTTAATAGAGAACATTTTACTCTTTTGAATCTTCGAAGCTCGTAGTTCCCATTTACAACCTTCCTTATGACATTTTAGCACTAATTGTTGCTTATCATATTTTACCACGTTAAACCCAAAACTTTTAGAATATGCGCCTCGATCCACCACTTCTTTTACTGCCTTTTAAATAACAAACTCTTGTTGTATTTTCAACCCCAGACCGTCGTCCCATGCCTCCATAAACTCAACTGGTTTTTCAATTAGAGGAGCCTCTCCATAACTACCACACATTTCTGAGTCTTGTCTCCCATCAGCCTTTTCATCCTCCTTTCCACCAGCACTTTCATCCTCCTTTCCACCACCACTTTCATCCTCCTTTTCACCAGACCTATCATCCTCCTTTCCACCACCATTTTCATCCAAATTTACTTCTTCATCAATTTCTTCCAACATCTTCTCAATCGCCACTATCCCCCCCCCCTCGGATCTATTTTGAATTAGAATGTTGCCACCATATAAAGTTATGTCTTTGTCTACGAAATCAGTGTCCTTTGTATGCAACACTTCATAGTTCATACCTAAGAAACTTGGCTCTAGAAAGTTGCTCGGCGAGTTCTCGTCTTTTGATGATTTCCACATACAATATGCACCTGCGGTTCTCATTATCGAGGGACGATAGATAACCATAAAGATCTTCATCATCAGAAATGCTAAATTATTCCTCACACCCAATCAGCAGTGGAATGTAACTCAATTTAAACTTCACGGAACTTTCATTAAACTCGCTTCTACCATTGAAAGAGTTATATTGTCCGCTTTATTCTTAAACACTAAACTATACATCTACCCTTTGCATCTGAAGTGTATGATGACCACTTTGTTGCTCATTAGATCCTGAAAAGACCATTGAATTTCATTCATTATTCACAGATAACGTGCCAACAAAATTATTTCATAAGCGTAAACTTATTCAGTAATACTAGTATTACTTGCTATACTACAATTATCAGTAATACTAGTTTCACTAGTTTCCCTCTTCAACGGTATTGATTCCCAAATTTACATTCAATGGACTACGATTCAAACAATGCAACTGGTTTTCTACTTAATTCAGCTCATAAATGATGGAACAACATCGAAATCCATTCCAATCAGGTTTTCAAACTCGAGCTTTGCAACTCTCGTTATAATACCCATTTGAGGAGAAGATAACAAGACAAGAGATTCGAATGATGAAGATATGGCGGAAGACCGACCCGAAGGAGCTTCAACTAGGAGAGGAGAGCCAAATCTCGGGAGAGCTCACCAGTCTCAAGTGAGCGTCATCGTTCTTCTTCACGAGTTTTTCACCTCCAAACGCAAATAGAATCATACTGCAATCTCAACTTCAAACCGCGCAAGAACGCTTTTGTCAATATGTATTTTTCTATTTTTATTTAATTTTTTTTTTCAGAGGCCAATTTCATAATTACTTATGCTTTAATGAAATGAGAGGATATTGAGATTTGTAAAGGATATAAGTGATTTTATTTTTTTTGAATAAGGGCGTCTGACGTGATGTCTCTACTCGTTTTCATTGGAAATAGATTTTGCATGAGTAGCGTCACGTGTGTGTGATGATAAGATGTTGGATTGCACACATACCAACTTTGTGGGGGCGGTGGTTGGGGAGTTTTAGCAAATCCAAAGATGATGATAATCTCCAACCGAGACATTATCGGATGTTATCGTGAAATATCCAAAGAATATGTGTAGAGAGTTCTGCTTAATGGTCAAGTTTTTCATCATATATCTTCATGATTATCAGACTATTTTTTTCATGATACATGCCAGCCAAGCCTTAGTGTTATCAAACTAGTTTTTACTAAGCAAATGGGTATGGTTCTTGCCAAAAGAGCGGGTTTCCATTTCAGGAAGTTCAAACTCCTCTGGTATCAGTGCCAACTGTGTTGAGACTTAAATTTTGCCAATGTGTTCAACTAGGAGAAGTTGGTTCAAGCAGGGAATTCCCTGCAATAATTGGGGTTTTTAGCATAAAAAAAATAGGGGCCTATCAAATATTATAAATTAGAAAAAAAAAAACTTGAGTCATGAATAAATAAGAAGAGGCAAAATTAAAAGGTTAATATAAAAAAAAATTAAAGAATAAATTTGCATTTTACGTTAATTGCAGGGTCGCACTTAAGTTCAGTCTTGTTACAACCATC